GTGGGATTCTCGCGTTTAAGCTCTTTAGTATTTTTCATCGAAGTAAAAATACCGTATCAAAATAATGGCGTGTATGTAGTGATTTATGCCTTCTTCTCTTCCAAAATCACCCAAGTTGGCTTCCTGTCGTACCTTCGTCACCCAAGATCCTTCGCGTTGTGCTAGGCGCAGCCACGTGTTCCACACGTCTCTCAACTGGATCAACTGGTCAGCAGGAATGTCCATAAATTCTTCAGTGAGTGTGAGCAGCTCAGTAGAATCCACAAGCTCTTGTAAGGCTAACAACAGCAAAGTGAAACCCTGTTCGCTGATACGCAGCGAGTACTAGATATGAATCACTGCTGAAGCCATATCATTTCCTCCTGTAATCAGAAAACAAGAGCTTTTAACGTGAGGCTTTTTAAGTCAAACGGTGGTCTTACCTAATCTATCGTCTGTCAGATTGCCTCGAGTGGATGCAACGCAATCAAATCGAAAGTGGACAAAAGAGTTCAATTTGACGTGGACGAAACGGAGAAATCTCAGTTTGCCCCTTGATTGAGTAAGAAGATTGAGCGAAAATTCTGTAGACCGATCACAAAGTCCAGAAAAGAAAAACCATTTTGGCCAATTTTTCAATCCGGAAGCCATCCAGTCTGGTTCATATTGCCAACATCACGATTTGCATAACCAAGTAATTAGCGCAAACACCAAAACATAAAACGATTGGGACGGCTTTTAATTTTAAAGTTGACGCCTCAGTTGCTGGAGTCTCTATGGGTTATGAAAGTCGATCTGTAGGCCGTTTAGACGAAATACAGAGAGCATTTTTTTATGCGTCCATTTCTGCACAAAATGTGGCTAAAAGATTGGTTTCCTAGTGTTCCAAATGGATTGGTTATAAAGAAAATATTTCACCTCACATATATTTATGGGACATACGCGAGAACTTTCGAACAAGAAGACAAAAAAGTGTCAAGGGAGTTCAAGTACCTGAAACTGCCTTGCCCGAAGGTTAAACGTGGACGGCAAATGGCGAACGTGACGGCTAGAGTCTAGTTACGATTTGGATCCATTTTGAAATCACAAGTGATTTTTGTAATCTAGTTGGCTCTCGGCAGTAGAATCTTGTTACGAATCGTACTGTCGTTGCCTCAAATCTCATCTATTTCCCAGGAAAAGAGAAAGGTGCGATAAATTTAAACAACGAATCAGATATAACAAGGATTGTTTTGAGTGATCGATCAAATTTCAAGAGTGTGAAGGGTGAAAGGAAGGACGAAGGGGGGATAATATGGCTTTCAAGGGGAAAGGAGGAGGATCAGTCGTTTCTAACAACGTATTAAAGGGACTATAGAAAATTGACTGCCTGGGCGCGGTTGTTCAGTGCGTAGAGTTTTCCCCGTAAAGGTAAAAAAAGCAACGCCAATATCCATTATATTATGATATTATTTCGCTTTGCTCTAAGAAGAAAATGAAACATTTGAGATTCTGTATTTTACGCTTTCAAAAAGAACGTGGAAAGTGGTAATTGAAGTTCGTGTCGTAAAATTTTGGTCTGAGAACAAACTTTTGATTTCATATCACATATAGGATTTCAGACCAAATTGTACTCTAATCAGTTCAATTGCCGTTATATATGACCTTTGGGGATGAGTCAGAATGTATACGAATTTCAATTGTATCGTCTTCCTTCGAAAGTCAAAAAGAAAAAACAGATCATGTTGTAGAAGCCTTCTTAGGCGTATAACGAAGTTAGTGTTGATTCAGATCATTTCCCAAAGGCTTGATTAATCGAAGTAAAGTGGCCCGTTTTAAGATCCAAAAATAGAGGGCGGAAGTCTCTTAAGAAACTGTGACACTGCATCTCTTAAAAGACGAAACAGAACACATCAGACAGTTCTGCAACGATGAATGAGTCAGCAGAACATAATTGTTTGCGCTGCGCCTCAAACCGAAAGCGGTGACCACCCTTAATATATAGATTTAGCCAAGCCTAAAAGCGGAGCTCTTGTTAGTTTATTTTCCAGCCCTACAATAAACTGAATAAAAACTGGAATAAAACTATCCACTGACAAGTCTTTGTATAATATTTCAACCCAACCATTTCCTCAACGTATAAACACTATTACAAAGTAATTAGTCAGGGAAATTGACTAAAACTTGTAAATCTTAGATTGTGTGAAATTAGCACTAATAACCATTTTGGCAACTTTTCAACACGAAAAAATTTGAATCAGGTTTCGTTTATTCTCAGAATAAACAAAATCTATGGGGTCATGCATGACCCAAATCATAACGTTAAACTTTAACGTCACGATTTGGCTCATCTAAGTTTTTGTTTCGATCATTCGCAGCGTGAAATTATAAATTCACGAATCCGTAAAGATGCCGTAAAGTAAGTGTTAAGATCCTCTTTACGCGTCTTTTCAAACTTCTTTACACTCTCGTAAAGAATGTCTTTACGCATTGAAAACGATATAGAGAATATTTACGATATTTTACGGCGACTGTAAAACGATCAGAAAGGCGATCTTTACGCGTTATTTAACTATCATAAGTGGGAAATATTTACATGCCTAATTGCCATTTTGCATTTTTCTAAATTTTTTTGGCAACATTCCCCTTTGCTAATCAGACTATAACAAATGTGAGCTCGTGACAACATCAACGTAGTACCCTATCTTAGCGCGTGTTGCCAAAAGTCCGTATCGAGATCGTTTGCGATATTTTACGCTTCTGTAAAACGATGCCGTAAATGCCTTTCAAGGATTGACTCATATTGTTAAACGATAAAAATAGAACTATATTTAATCTGAAATATTGTAAGGGTTTCCTTATATTGGTGATGGGAAAAGGAATGGAAATATTGTATTACTTTAAGCCATTCGATACAAAAAATTATAATAACCAGGTTGATCATTTCTTGTTCCTTTTGGCGGTCCCATCTAAGTACCATTTCTTTCACCTTTTTCTTATTGTGGTTGAGAATTTGACATGGAGACAGATGTTTTTGCGTAAACTGCGGTTTGCGGCTAGTTACTGGTATATTTTCATTATTTTTGCTTAAAAATAATAATTAAGCACTAAGAAAATTACCCTATCCTATAAAATTTATCCCGTACAGGACTTTCCTGGAAATAACCCTCTTTATACTTTTATCCATTTAATACTCTCGTTTTTAGGCTAAATCCATGTCGAATTCTTGATCAGGAAAATAGTTTTCAGTTTTTAATTTAACACGTTCGACACCTCTTTTTCTTAGAGGTGATTTAAGGTGTAAACGTGAAGTACTTTCATCTGCCGCACTGAATTTGTAATCAGATAACTCATGCGAATAGCACGTAGTTTTCTTAGGGGCGGTACTTTGGGTACGCCCTTTCTTCTTCGAATTTTGTGTTTACTCTGCTGTTATGTAACAACCTTCAAGGACAATTTTCTTTTAAGATACCTTTTCAAGTATGATTTATTGAGTATATATTGAGTTATGTAAGGTCAAGATCAGAGCTAGTCCCCGTTGTAATAACTTGCGTAATAAAGAGTGAACAAAAGAAATAGTCAACTGAACGACGAGTGTTAGGAAATTATTTCTAACAATATATAACAACAAGTGTTTTATACATTGCAATTTATTTTATTGTCAGGCTCTTTAACTTGATTTCGCAGTTTTCACAGTAACGTAGCTAGAGGTTTATACACACGGGATAAAGGATAAGAACTGAAAAATACAAATATCATAAATATAAATAATTTTACATAGATATGCAAAATGTCTCATTGGTTTCGCACAGCTTGTAGGCACATGGACCTTTGAGTTACCTTTCTTTGATTTCGTTTCCTTGCTGCCCAAATTGTTCTCGGCGACAAGTTTACACAAAGAGTCCACTTTGTTTGAAAGCTCTTCGAACTTTAAGGCATTTTCTTCGTCGCGCTGCCTCAATTGCTCTCTTAATGATTTGTTTTCTTTCAAAGAATCGTCCAGTAGCAGCAGGTCGGATTTTCTTGTCATTTTAAAAAGAAAAAGAGCCCACAGATCACTTCACACGCCAAAAGTAAAGCCAGGAGTTATCGCAAACGACGCCAAAAGGACGCTAACATTCGCGCCATGAATACAAATATATCTCGAAACGTCAGCCTTTTAACTCTTTACGGTGGCTAATTTACGTTTTCAACTC